AATAACAGAGAAGGTGGATACGATGAAAATGTTATATGCATGTATGCAAATACCACATCTTAAATCCAGTATTTCATAAAATTAATATTTACTAATAAAAATTTTTAAATATTAAGAAATTAAGTTGGGCATGGCAGTGCATGCCTATAACCTCAGCACTGGAGTAGAAGGATCACCACGAGTTCTCAAGGCCAGTCTGAACTAAATAGTAAAACCCTGTCTCAAAATAAGAAAAAAGGGAGGGGGGCTATAATAATATAGTAATATGCAATTTGTGAAGAATTTGTAATTTTAACATGCATAACAGAGATAGCTTACTTTCTTGTGTACTTTTTGGTGCTGGTGGTTTACGTGTGGCCCAATTAGTTCTGATTTGTCGACCACCCAACCACTGACCTCCCATATGCACAATTGCATTTTCTGCATCCTATGGCGAAAAAAAGAACAAACACAAAGAAAAGAGCGGCACGTTAGCTTTGGTAAGATGAAATACAAGTTAGCACTGCTGAATCCAGCAAATCTCATCTGCAAATGAATTCATTAAACATCCTTAAAAAAAAACAAATTAAAACTATTATCAATAAGAAAACAATTTTGAACTTCTATTTTTATTTTCTATTACAAAATACTAGCATAATATTTAAGAAAAGGGAAATTTATCCTTATTCAAATATGCAAGGAAAAAAAGTCACAATCTCACTAATCATTCAAAGCATTTTTATTAGTTTCTTAAATATACATAGTTGAATTAAAAGGAAAACAGGGCTGGGGATTTAGCTCAGTGGTTCTGGCACCTACCTTGCAAGCGCAAGGTCTCGAGTTCAGTCCCCGGTACCAAAAAAAAAAAAAACCAAAAAAACAAAGAAGGAAAACAAATCCCACAAGACAAAGTAGTTTTCAAATCTCTTAATTTTATGGTCGATTTTTTTTTGAGGGGCAGGGGGAATCGGGGCTCGAACTTGGGTCCTCGCACTTGCGCAGCAGGTGGTGAAACAACTGAGCTAAATCCCCAGCCCTATGGTTGATTTTTAATGTAAAATTTACTGAAGAAAATGTGAAAATGCTAACAATTTAAATTTCCTACCTCTAAAAAAATCTATGCCTGGGCCGGGGATTTTGCTCAGTGGTTCCGCCGCTTGCCTCACAAGCTCAAGGACCTGAGTTCGATCCCCAGTACCAAAAAATAAAAATAAATAAAAATAAAAAATCTATGCTGTATTAACACCAATAATTATGACTGTGACGGATTAAAAACTCACTTTAAGACAAAAGACTTTTGAATTATGATTCAGAATGTTACAAGTTGTCAATAAAAAATGAGTTTGGATTATCCAAATCAATGTATGTGATAATCTAAAACAATTTAACTCTAGCCTTTTACCTTACCACTTCAGTAACATGTAAGTAATTTAAATTGTTGAAAGTGCTCTAAAATTAAACCCCACTTTATTACTGTTAATGCAAGTGCTTATTTTGCTACCACTTTCTTAAAAGAAGTTACCCAAAAATCAAGACAAACTGTTTAAATTTTCACTTACATAATTACTGTAGTCATTAACATCCCAGTTATAAAAGTATGGATAATTTCAAAGAAAGAATTAAAACTCGGGGGCCGGGGATTTAGCTCAGTTGTTTTGCTGCCTGCTGTGCAGGCGGCAAGGACCCGAGTTCAATCCCCAGTACAAAAAAACAACAGAATTAAAACTCAGATTTTCATGGTTAAGAAGGTACATAACTTACTTCTCCCATCCAAATTCTCAGATCACCTGACTTGTCCTAGTCTTGGGCTTTACTTCTAAGATACTTTACCTTCACCAATGCACAAATGCTACTTTGATAATCTTCTTTATAGTATAATCATCCTTTCTTTTTCCAGCTATCTTTTCAAGTTTATGAAAGAATGAATTACACTGTATTAACACACAAAATTATTGTAAAACTGTACATACAGCTATCATCCAAGCATAATTCAAATTTCAATTAGTGTATATTAAAACTAACTAAATTTAGGATTGAGTTGAAAGAACATACCAGTTTGTTATAAAAAGATACAAAACCATAGCCTTTGGATTTTCCAGTTGCCATGTCTTTAACTACCCGAGCATCCCTGTGAAAAGAAGCACAGCTAAATGAGGGAAGTAAAAGTCACCCTCAAAACAAAAACTAAAAGGAACCACACACACTGTATTGTGAGCATTTTTTAAATAAAATTCCAGTTAGCCCTAATTAACTACAACCATTCCTGAACTCTCCCTAATGCTTCTTTACCTGTTAGAAAAAAGCAGTAGGACAAAAACATGTAATAAACATGCAACCTAATCAAATAGCCTGTACTTTCTAAACTAAATGCTCAAATTTGAAGATTAATAGGAACAATAATTTCCTCTTATATTCTATTTGCTAGTGTCCTCTAAGATTTACTGATTCTATAAATTACTCTAACAATGCTAACTACTTTACCATGCAATCTCTAAATAGTTAAATGTCTTCTGCCTAGTGATACAAAATATATGAAATATTAAAAAATTGAAAAAGAGGAAAAAATAGGAATTAAAAAGGCATACATGGCCTGTTAACAGATTTCTTTATTTTTCTTGGTCAATTCTCTACCATCATTTTGGAGTTTGGGCAGCTGTAAATTTTGAAAAATTGACATTTTCAGAAATTTAAGAAAGGAGAATAAAAAACTAACAACAATGCTAAGCACACCAGTACGAAAACAACAAATTTACACAGAAATTTTAGTGAGTAAGTTAAAATGATTGGAAATATAGAACTCCACTGAATATAGAATGTTAAAATGTAAATACTAAAATATGTATATATAAATAATGTATAATAAGAATAAATAGAAATGAGAAAAAAAATCTACAACTGAGTTCCAGTGTGCACAGTTCCTTGCAGTTAGCCTTCAAGATCCTGTCCATTCTTATGAGCAATTCTGCAAAATAACCAGAATGCTATTACTTTTAATTGTGACTTGGACTTTAGAAAACTGCAGGTCTCAGGTATATATAAAGATCGAAAAACAGCAACCTGTATTATTTTTATACTGATTTTTAAAACAGTACTACTTACCACATTTACATTAAAAAGCAAAGCAAGTATCAAAACAGAAAATTAAGAATTAAATCTTTCAAATTAAATCTGTAGAACAACAAATTACATAGAGAAAAAGTTGTTGTTCTTAATTGAAACATTTTTGTATAGTACTAAAATTTTAAATTTAAATCTACAGGAAATATATGAAACAGACTGATTTTAATCAGGTAAAATGTGATACTTCATAAAACATGTAATCATGTTTAATTTCCCAATATAGTTCATCAAGTAACAGTGAAATTTGAGCATAAACTTTGCTAAAAATCAAAGTATATTTGTTCCTAACAGAATCAAATATAACAAAAAAACCTCATTAATTCCACATTCATGATTCAGACACAAAACATTTTAATACTGTAATAGTACTACTTTTCACTTATAGTTAAAATACCAAAACACATTTATCATCATAAACACAAACATTTCTAAATTAACCACAATATACCGAAAGATTTAGCTACTTCCCCCATTTATTAATTCCTCCAATAAATACTCAGTATGAACCACATTTACTTTTTATTAATCTATTATCTTTAACCAATTTTTTAAAACATTTGACAAAAAGTTGGACATTGCAGTGAAATTTTACCACCTAAACATCTGCTTCAAAGATAACAAACAGAATCACTTAAATTTTTAAACATATTATACACAGGATTATATATGAAAACAAGACCCTAAAACATTCAAATGACATTAACATTTGCAACCACATCTACGCAAAAAACAAATCAAGAAAAGAAGACCAAAAAACAAAAGAAAAATACACTAACTAGAGAAAGAAAATCTTAATTTCAATACAAGTTAATCATAGCAACTTTATCACTATTGAGTGTAGTACTGATTATGATACTTACGATATTTTACCAAAGGGGGCAAATGCTGATTTGATATCTTCTGTTGTAATTTCTGGACTCAAATCCCCAACAAACACATGGAAGTGATCTGAAATCAAAGCATTTGGTAATCAAATACTTAAGAAGCTCGCTACTAAACCTTTTTTAGGCAATAGGAAGGAGGGAAAAAACCCTAGTTAAGCTGGTAATGCTGCCAGGAAAACTTCAGAACTCTTCCACAGTAAAATGCAGCAGGAGTACTTACTGGAAGTATCTTTTTTCTGGCTACTTGGTGTTGTTGCCCAGTTTACTTTGACCTCCTAAAAATAAAGATTATATTTAATACGATTATTAGGTATGTCATTATGACTTATATTATCATCTATTAAGCAGGGTTATTTTTGCACAACTAGTAGGCTGAATAAAGCAAAATCATCACTCAGCAGCTGAATATCTGTTTAAAAATTTGCTAAGAAAGAATATAAACTAATTTAACATGCAAATATATGTACTAATAAGGTGTCACCTTTCTATCTTACCTTTCCCAAAATTTTTCGCCCATTCATAGCAGCTAATGCAGCAGCTGCATCTCTGTGTTCATAAAATTCCACAAAGCAATATGGGTCATTGCTTGTATGCTGCAAAACAGAAAATCCAACAGAAGAGTTGACCCTTCTGCTATCGGGTTGCTGAGAAGAAAATCCAGGAAAAAACATTACTGATAGCTAGGAATGTACAAGGTGAGACTGCAAAACCTTATGAAACCCTAATACTTAAAAAAAAAAAAAAGAAAGAAGATGTACAACCAATCTGATTTTGTACCTCAGAACACTGTTGTACTACTAGAACTACAAAAGCTGTATAGAATCATGACCATGAGTATTAGAATACAGAATTCTGGTGAAGTATGTTTAAACAAAAAAAGCAGAAAGCTATATTAAGCCAAACAAAACCTCAAACTCGGATTTGATGAGGACTGCTCCTTACCACTGGTCTTCTCTTCCAACATTATTCGTAAAAGGATATATTCTATTTAATGCAACACAGTCCTTCATAAACTGTATCCCAGGACTATAAAAAAATACAGAAATGAACCAACTTTATAAACTTTACTCCTGATCAAAACTTCTATTGGTATTACAAATACAGTACTTTGTAGTGCTACAAAGACTAGGTTATACGTATTGCTTTTCTGACAAGTAAAGATTGAGAAAAATAGAAAAATTCAAGACTTATAACTAGGTACTGAAATGATCTTCCTATCTTCCAAAATAGTCTGTTGTACTGTAGATTCTATATATTTTAATTTGGTCTTCCAAAGGCCAAAAATATACAGGTAAACTAGAAAAGAATTGCTAAAAATATATCTAAACAAAGTATTCCAGGATAGGGTTGGAGGTATAGCTCACTGGTAGTGCACTTGCCTGGCATGTGGCAGGCCCTGGAGTCAATCCCTAGTTCTGCACCAAAGGGAGGGTGGGGGGATAAAACTACAATTTTACCTCACAAAAACACTAACATAAAGAAACTTTATTAAATATATGATTGATAATAGGTGGCAAATATGTATTCATGAGAAAGTAGTACTATGCAACAACCAAAATAGAAACAAATCTTTACAAAATTGACTGGAACCTACAATGGATAGCTATACAACTCTACTGGAATATTTTTTATTGTAAAGTTAAAACAATTCATCACTGTTGGTGATTTAGCTCAGTGGTACCGCACCTGCCTCGCAAGCACAAGGTCTTCAGTTCGATCCCCAGTACAAAAAAAAACAAAAACAAAAAAACCAAAACCCAAAAAACAATTCATCACTGTTCAACATAAAGTGCCCTAAAAAGGTCAGTGTTTATTTATAATGTGGAAACTGGGCATGGCATGTGCCTGTAATCCCAGCATTCTGAGAGACTAAGGGAGAAAGATCACAAGGTCAAGGCCAATCTGGGCAACTCAGGGAGACCTTGTCTCAAAATTTAAAAGGGCCGGGGATAAAGCTCAGTGTGAAGGTTCAATCCTCACTACTGCAATCAATCAATCAATAAGAATTCTAGGAGGTCTTGCAAGGGACAAAAATATCAGATAAAATAAAAATCTTTGCAACAACCACTGTTTTTCATTCAGAAAGTTTTAGAAGAAAAATCTAAAGTTAGATGTCTAAACAATAGTGATGAAGCAACCAGAAGCATTTCCTTAACAGTCAAAAAGTGGAATGATTAACACTGACAAGAGAACAATGAACTCTCATACAAAATCCTATTGCAGTATACTTTGGTGAGTAAACACTGTTCTTAAGAGGTAGAGAAATGATAGGGCTGAGGATTTACCTCAGTGGTTTCGCCGCCTGTTGCCCAAGAACAAGGACCCGAGTTCAATCCCCGGTACAAAAAAAAAAGGAGGTAGAGAAATGAAATGGGAGGAAGACTCCAAATGAAAAATACACAATGGCTGGGGATTTAGCTCAGTGGTGCTGTGCCTTCCTTGCAAGAGCAAGGTCCCAGGCTCAACCTCCGTGGAGGTGGTGGTGGGGACACAATGATGACGACTGGATGGGTCGGACGATGGTTATTCTTGTGAAAGAGTTAACATTTATCAGAAATATTCAGTGACAGGGCAGGGGATTTAGCTCAGTGGTTTCGCTGCCTGCTGTGCAAGCAAGCGGCAAGGACCCGAGTTTGATCCCCGGTACCGAAAAAAGAAATATTCAGTGACAAAAGGATTTAAAAGTAAGCAAAAGACTAACGTTGTGTTAGTTGATTTTTGCTTTTACTCCTATGTCTTCTGTTAGACTCTAAGGGAAACACTCATAATAATGTCAGAATATACAAGGGTCCATTAGTAAAGCTATGAAAACCACGAAGGCTTTAGAATATGAGTACATTTTCGTTGTCTGCTGCGCAAGCGCAAGGACCCGAGTTTGATCCCCGGTACCAAAAAAAAAAAGAATACGAGTACATTTGCACACACTGATTTCAAATTTACCTATCTAACTAGCAGTAGGCCAGATCCCAGTACATGCAGACATGTGTAGTGTCTCCCCTTACCCACAGGGGATGTTTCAAGGCCTCAGTAGAGGCCCAAAACTTCAGATAGCACCAAATTCTTCTGTATATACTATGTTTTTCCTACATGTATGTACACAGGTTTAATACCTTTTCCCTCTTTTTTTTGAGACAGGGTCTCACTATGCAGTCCAGGCATCCTGAACTAACTATGGAGCCCAGGCTGTCCTCGAACTCATGGCGATCCTCCTGCCTCAGCCTCTCCAGTGCTGGGATTACAGATGTGTACCACCACACTAGGCTCCAACCTTTTCACTTTAAAGGAAGCATTTTATGGCTTTCCTTTGTTATATACAAATTGTCAGCTTCACTAGTCTTTTACTTTGGAGATATTAAAATAGTTACTTGATACAAGCACTGGAATACCTTGACAACTGATCTGATAGCACAGCGGGCAACTAGGGTGACTAAAGGACAGGTAGCATATACAGCTCTAATACATTAGACAAAGGAATGATCATTTCCCAGTGAGGACAAGAAGATTCATCACACTACTCACAACTGGGTGTACTTTAAAACTTCTGGGGCCAGGGATTTAGCTCAGTGGCACTGCACCTGCCTTGAAAGCGCAAGGTCCTAAGTTCGATCCCCGGTACAAAAAACCCAAAGAACAAAAAACTTCTGAATTGTTTAGTTCTGGAATTTTACCAACCACATGTTATAGACAACAAGGAAAACAAAACCACAGATAATGGCAGACCCTACACATGTATTTAAACATCTGCTTCAGATATATTTATATATTCATATCACACTGCATTTCATCTAAGACATCACTGATTTTTTTTTAACATAACCTCAAGATTTTACTGTCTTCATAATAAAACAAAAGACAAAGATTAGAACTGGATCACTTAGCCCTTTCTCTTCTTAATCGCCTCCTAGTCCAAACTGCTTGCATCTCTTAATAGCCAGCATGCTCGCAGATCTGCAGCCGGGTTTAACACACTCCAGTCTCAGCACGCCCTTCTTTGTAGTTTTGGCCTTTCCCCGGAAAATCAGCTTAGTCTGTGTACCACAGCCACTCTGCTTCCTGTCACCACGCTGCTTTCCCTGGGCACAGAGAATTTTTGCCTTTCTTGCACTGTGTCACTGTGGGGTTGGTGCTTGCTACACTTTTTTCTTACAGAAAGTTTTAGGAACATTCACCATATTTTCAGGAGCATTATGAGTATGGAAAGTGACACCACTGATTTTTAAGTAAAATCTCAAGTATGAGAGGTTAAAAATTTTTAATGTTTGCCCTAGAATCAAGAATATACTTACTCCGGTACCAAAAAAAAAAAAAAAAAAAAAAGAATATAGTTACTATATAAGGAAAGGTAGAATCTATGACAACATCTTAAGTTTTAAAATCATAAATAAGGAGAATAAAAAGGATTTTCCATACACCAAGATGAAATTTATGAAAGGAAAACAAATGCCTAGATATACTCAGGTTCATGCCTTTAGAAGCTTCCCATTTACACCACCACCAGGCTACACTTTAAAGATTAGGTCCTTACCTTAATTAGTGCTGTTATCAATTTTTGCTGGATGACATAAATGTCAAGACAAAGAAATTCGAGATTTTATAACTTCACAACCTCAAATTTACGAGTTCTAGAATATGAGTTTCAAAAATTCTTTTTAAGTCTCTCTGTCCTTCAAATTGCTGTATATACACAATTTTTTTTATAAAATCTTAAAAACATATAGTTGTCAAATGTGTCTCAAAATTTTTCACGTGTCTTTTTCTTTCTCACATTCTATCTTTCCTAAACCCACTATCAGCTTCCCACCCAAACACACTACTGAGACTGCGTGTGGTGCTCATCAGTGACCCTCCTGCCATCTCTACTCATCCTTATCTTGGCTTCCAACCAGAATTCAAAACGGTTGATCACTACCCCCCTTTAAACATTCTCTCTGCTGGACCCCACCATCCTCTTGGTTTTTCTGCTTCTCCCTCCACTGGAGATCTTCCAGGACACTTGGTTCTTCCTAAGCAAAACTCAGGATATAATTCCAAAGCTCAGCTGTTCCAGGCTCCAAGCCTCAGACCTCATTCTCTCTAGTCTTCCCTGCCATCACTTCTCTACCCATCCTTTTTAGTTCCATGGCTTCAAATATCACTGCAAGCTTCAGCACTAGTCTCTACAGAGTTCCAAACTAGTTTTATCCAACTGCCTACATAAAATGTCCACTTAGGCCAGGCATGGTGGCACACACCTGTAATCTCAACACATGGGAGGCTGAGGCAGGAGGATTGCCACAAATTTGAGGCCAGCTTGGGCTACACAGTGAGTGCCAGGCCAGTCGGAACTATATGGCAAGACCTTGTCTTAAAAAACCAAAGGGGACAAAAAAAGGTTCACTTAGACATCTGATACGTATTTTAAATCTAACATCACAAAACACTTGATTTCTACCCTCCCCCAACCCATCCTGTACCTCCTTTAGTCATCTTCATTTTAGTAAATAGCATCACCAACTACTAATAGAATTACAACTCTACTAACAAGCAGCAAGAATCTTAGGGTCTCTCCCGATTTCTTCCTTTAGCTTACATTCCACTGCCAATCCATTCCTATTGGTTCTATTTTCAAAATATACTTCAAATTTACTTATACCTATTTCTTCAGCTACCACTCTAAAGTACAAATTCCATCATCTCCTACCTAGACGAGTGAAACAGATTCAGTTGGTTTCTCCTCTTAATATTTCACACAACAGTCATTCTCTACTTACAGAGCAATGTTAAAAATATAAATCAGGGCACTGCTTATACCTCTCCAATGGCCTGCTAACTGTGAACCAAATTTGTCATGGCCCATGCTGCCCTATGTGATTTTGAATCCTGCCTAGTTTATCATTCATTTCCTATCACTACCCTCCATCATCTGCCAAGCTCTAGCTATCCTAGTCTTTGGTTTCACAAAGCCAACAAGCTCAATACCAACTTGAAGCCTTTGTATTTGCTCTTCCTCTGCCTCCAGCTCAACATACATGGTACCATCTTGTCATTCCATCTTTCCTCATTACCTAGCCTACAGAGTACCAACCCTGTAATCATCACCACACAACTCTGTTTTCTTTTCTTCATGGCTCTGATCCCTATTTGCTTGGGGACCTCATTTGTCTGGCTCTTCATTATATCCTCAGTGCCTTGACAAATGTCTAGTGCAAAGTAAATTTGATTAGTAAGAGATGAATGAATAATCAAAGTCAAGAAGTATAGAAAAATACACCAGAACAGAATGATAACTATAATTAGTTAGGAAAGAAGACCGAATGGCCAATATACTTTATAGTCTTTTAAAAGCACCTCATCTCAGAATAAGACACCAACTCCTTAGCACGGCTTCTGGCTCCTTCCAAATACTCTATCTCATCTGAGTATCTCTTTTATGATCAATCCTATCTCAAACTCCAATCACACTACTAGTGTACAGAGGTTTCTAACAGAAAGTAGTTTTCTATTTATTTTTCCCCTCTCTGACACACGCTTTCCAGCTCTCTGTCTACCAGCCTGGACCAACATTCTTCTAGCTATAGTCCTTTCTTCTTTACTTTCATTCTTCTGAGACAAGGTCTCGCTATGTAGTTCAGCCTGACCTTGAACTCACTATGGAAACTAGGCTGGCCTTAAACTCATAGCGGTCCTCCTGTATCAATCTCTGGACTGCTGGGATTACAGGCATGTGCCACCATGCCTGGCCCCCAAATTCTTTTCTAGCCAGTTTCTATTATTCTTTTAGGTTTTAGCCCATGTACTGACTCCTCCAAGAAGTATGCCCTAACCTAAGACTCCACAGGACACCCTATGTGCTCCCACAGTATTTTAAGGGTTTCCATAACATTTTTTATTCTATATCCCAAGTACCCACTAACTCCTCTGCCTTCCTCCTTCACGGTAAAATCTTACAAGGCCAGGAATGGTCTTATTCACCATTTTATCCCTTGCACTTACCAAAGTACCTAGAATATGGTAGTTAAAAGAATGTTTATGAATAAATAGAAAGATAAGGAAAGAGTAACTACAACATGAGTCACTGGGTATTACTAGAGTCTTAACTGAGAAAGTATAAGTTTTCTTTGAATAAAGGACAACAAAATTACTTTGTTATTTTGGTATTGGGAACAGAACCCAAGGCCTTGCTCAAGCCAAGCATGTACTCTACCACTGAGCTACATCCCCAGCCCCCCCCCAAATTAGTACTGCAACAATTTCAATGCCTACCTACACAAAGCTGCTCAATCATTAGTATTCACTAAAGATGCACAAGACACATGCTGCATCACTATGCACATAACCTTATGTTCTTTCACACACACCAATTCCTAAATTTTAAATATATACTATCTGAATTACTAACATTCTTATTAGAATTACATGAAATGCCATCAAGTATTCACCATTTTAGATAAATGGTTTACAAGCAAAATCACTTTGAAAACAATGACACCATGAAAAATGCCTGAGAATAACAGCACAGAAACTTTGTCCTCTTGAATGTAACTCTATTCTAAGTCTACTTTATTCACCAAATCAAAGTAAAAAAGCAAGAATTTTTTTAAATGTTGCTAATCAACCCAAGTATCTCAAAATGTTAGACAGCATGCTAACTGACAGCATGTGTAACTGGGAAGATCTTACCTCTGTTATCATTTTACAGCTTTTACAGGGTCCAATCTGACTGAATAACTGAAGTATAAGGACTTCTGTCACATCTCTGGAGAGGTTACCTACATATCTGAACAAGAAAAAAAATACATTAGCAATTTTTCTTTAGCTCTGGCTCAAGGTATTATCATTTAATTCACCTTTTATTTCATTTTAATTTCCTGTGTCTTCAATAAAACTCCAAGTAATACTGACCCTATGAAAGTAAGATTAACCCTTATTTAGGAAAACAGTATCTGTTCTTAAGCCACTAAAACACCATTTCAAAGGACAGTATACAGAACAAATCAATATGACCTTGGTATCCAAAAGGTTTTATTCTGTACCTTGTTTATCATCTTCGCATTTTAGCCCTAAAAAATTGAAACCAGTCTCAAGAAATACAACTTCTAATCCAAAATAATTCAAACACACACAAATATGACAAATACTGAGTCACTAAAGTAGTTGATCATAAAAGGATATTAGACATAAAGTAGGTTCATCTTAAGACTCTGAACCAAAGCAATTACATAAACAAAGAAAAGAATTAGAGTAAGGTTATATTAAAACACACAAAGGGTGGAGGAATTTTTTGTTAAATAAGACTGTTATCAATGATATGTTTTTATTGCTTTGTTTTAGGAGAACAGAGTAAAATGATAAAATTTCCTAGTCAAAAGTATATCAGGTTCAACAAAATACATCTTTATGTATACAATAAAGCAAGTATAAAGACTGCTTTAAAAATTCAGAAAAAAAGTTTTAAAAAATCCTGATACACTTTTGAGTAGGGACTTCAGATTTGGGGTTTTCTTCCTAGTTATAAATTAAATATATGTATTTTGTATATGTTTTAAAGAAAGAAAAGAGAAATCACTACTTCTCAACCAAGAAACAACCACCTTGGCTTATGTCTTGCACCATGGATTTGACTCAGCTCAATAAACTACCAAACTTTTAACTCTTTCTGGCACTTAGCAAAGATGTCCTCAAATCTGCATCTGCCATGAATAACTCAGAAACTAAACAGTACAGTACTTGTAAATTTTAACAGTTTCTTCTGGAAAGTAAGAGGATATAAGTTTTATTTCTCTAACCATAATAACTAGAAACTAAGTACTATACTAGTATCAAGCTTTGCAACATAGTTACATATTAAATACATAACTACCTAAAGTGGAACAGACTAAAGAAAAACCCCTGGACAGACCAAGCTAAATTTAAGCAAAACAAAACAAAACAAAAAAACCCCACAAAGATCCAATTAAGAATGAGTAGTAGGGCTGGGGATTTAGCTCAGTGGTTCCGCCACCTGCCTCGTAAGCACAAGGACCTGAGTTCCATTCCCAGTACAAAAAAAAAGAAAAAGAATTAGTAATTTTCCAGTTAAGAATTTCCTTGCAATGGGTACTAATAACCTTACTGTTCACATTATATAAGTGAAATACAAGTTCAAGGTAAGAGATCAAACTGACAAAGTGGTTTAGGTCCAGTTTGCCATATTTTCCTGATAATTAAAGTGGAGCTGATCCATGTGTAAGCCAAAGCAATGATTTATTTTCCCAGCAGAAGGGAAAAGTGTTTTAGGGTTAGGAGCTAGCCACAGACAACTAACTGCCTGACTCTCTTTTTTTTTTTTTGGTACCAGGGATCGAACTCGGACCATGCACTTGCGAGGCAGGCGGCAGAACCACTGAGCTAAATCCCCAGCCCCATGGCCCTTTTGTAAATCACAGGGATTTGTGAACTTGTAACCATCAGCAATTTATTTTTATTCAAGGGAGACCTATCTCTAAGGAAAATAGGTGATATTGATGTTTTAAACACTATGGTTATCTAACCTAAACTCATTTCTAAGAGAAAAGAATGGACGAGACTGATTTTCACATGTTGAAGCTAGCTAGTAACAACAATGAAATGACTTAAATTTTGTTGCTGGTTTTTTTGAGACAGGGTCTTGCTATACAGCCCAGCCTGGCCTCAAACTTGTTATCCTCCTGCCTCAGCCTCTCAAGTTCTAGGATTACATGTGTGTACCACCATGCTCAGATGATTTAGTTTTGGGGGGTTTTTTTGGTACTGGGGATCGAACTCAGGACCTTGCGCTTCTGAGGCAGGCGGCGGAACCACTGAGCTAAATCCCCGCCCCTCAGGTGATTTATTAGTTTTAAATCTGTGTTACTGTTTGAACCTTCATCTGTTCAGGAAAAACTGTGTGAGCTTTACCTTCCATACCTAATAAATTTGTTGCTGGTTAACCTATTTCCAATCAGTAATAGATTGATATATAGACATAGATATATACATGTAATCTGCATTTCTAGTACTGATGCTGAAGATCAAAATGTCAGTAAGTCTAGAATGATTTATAGAAAAATCCAGTGTTAAGGTTTCCTGCTTATTAAGTATCTCTACTAAGAGGTTAAGTGGTAAAGCAGCAAATTAAGTTTCAAAAATTAACACAAAAGGGCTTCCACAACAATACATAGAACATGTTGATTTACCATGATAAAAAGGACACGATTCACTATAAAACTGCATTAAATTTTACCCAAATTTCAGATTGTCTGTTCTTTTACTGAGATTTCTTTTTTTAACTGAGAATTCTTAATTCACACATTTACACATTCTTGCATGGATCACAGTACTTTACAGAGGCACGTTGTATGGCTCTTGAAATGTTTAAGTACCTTTATATTGTCATAAAATAATCTATCCCAAGTTGAATACTACCAAAAGTTTTTTAAGCAAAGTTCAAAGCTTTACCCAGTGAACACCATCTTTTCATAGGGTTTTTGTTTTTTGGGGGGGTGGCAAAAATTAAACTCACAATGAGCTACATCCCCAGAACTTTAATTTGTTTATTGAGACAGGATCTGGCTAATTTGCTACATTACTGAGGTTAGGCTGAAACTTTCAATCCTTCTGCCTCAGGCTTCTCAGAGTGGTGGGATTACAGCAATGGACAATGTCCCAGCTATCTTTTTAGTAGCTTACTGAAATGATATCTTATTTTTCTTTTCAAATGATAATCTCTAGACTTTACTCTGTGCTATAGTTATGAAATAATCAACATATTCTAAAGTTCTAAGTTTCTAAATATATAATTTATCTGAAGAGCATATACAAAAGAACAGAAAATGACAAATGACTTGAGTTCTTATAGTTATTTTGTTTTGTTTTTTTGGTACCAGGGATTGAACTCGGGTCCTTGTGCTTGCGAGGCAGGCACCAGAACCACTGAGCTAAATCCCCGGCCCCAAGTTCTTATAGTTAGAGGTCAATTCAAAAGAAAAAATACCTAGGAAATTCCAAAATGAGGTTTTTTTGGTACCGGGGATCAAACTCAGGACCTTGTGCTTATGAAACAAGGCGGTGGTACCTCTGAGTTAAATCTCTGGCCCTCCAAAATGATTTTTAACTCAAGGAAAAAATAAAAGACACACTTTATAGTCCTGTCTTCTAAGAACAGGAACTATAAGAACTGAAGCATTAAAAACTGGAAATGTGCCGGGATTTAGCTCAGTGGTTCTGCCGCCTGCCTCACAAGCACAAGGTCCCGAGTTCGATCCCAGTAACAAAAAACAAAACAAAACAAAAACCAAAAATGATACCTTTATCCTTAACATCAGAGTTAACATCCAACTTGAGACTAGAAATTTGGCAGTTTCATATCACAGTAGGCAGAGAAGTCCATATTGCCAAACTATTTCCTATGTCTAACAGAGTGGAATTTTAAATTAAGAACATTATCCCTTGCAGAAGACTAATGAGAGTTTTCAACACTGAGTTGTCTGAAAAGAGTAGCCCTACCAAGGCTGAAATTACCAATAGTTTTATACAAAATACTATGGCTAAATTTCAATAAAAGTAACATTTTTGCTTTTGTACTTGACTAGTTCCTATACAAGATATTTTGGAACAATATCCTTCAAAAGACCTCTAATGACCTTTTCAATTTGTCAGTATTTCATTTTTAGGAAGGAGGCAGGATGGAGGAAAAATGCAAGTTGAACAATTGAACTGACCTACTATCTATAAGGAATACACACACACACACACACACACACACACACACACAATTTTAAAGAAACAGAATATAATTAAATAGAATGAGGGGCTTGATGATAGCCATAATATATAGCCAGATCCATGATATAGCTACTCAATTTTACAGTGAAATTTTAGTGTTCTGCTTTTTTCTTAAATGTTCAGATTATACTCTAAATCACTGGTTTATTTCCTCCTCTTGACTATCAGGAAGAATGAACAGCCTTAAAAGGATTGCATTGCATAACATGGTTATTATTATCCCAGATCCACAATTCCTACTGATTTTGGTGGATCAGAGATGAATAAAATAAACTACAACAGAACACTAATATGATTTAGTGCCACATTGCAGATTCAGATAAACCATGGGTCAAATCACTGCACTGCAAAGATACAACACAAGCTTGAAATGTGTGTCTTGCAAGGTGGTCCACTTCAACACCACTATTACACGGCATGATTTTGTTTCTTTTTAGGATCACAAATTACCCAGTACACAATACCCCAAAATAAATGTCAAATGAGAATGAAGATCAGACCTTTAAAGCAACTATATAACAAATAGAACTTTAGGCTCAACATCAAAACAATTCTATACCACTTTAAATACCATCAAATAAATTAGTAATATTGTAAGTAATGAATATTTAAAGACCTACCTAGGCTATTAACACCATATTGTTTTCTGAAGATAGAACCATATGTCTTAGCTTGTGTGTCTGCAGGAAAAAAACCTCACTAGTAACACACAGGCATTTTAAGGTAACAAGTTAAGCTTTTGTTAAAAAGTATAACCTTTTAAAACATACTAGCCACTTGAAATCCTAATGGATAGATCACAGTGCAAAATACAAGCTCTCCATAAACAAAACTCTACTAAATAACAACCTTTAAAATCATGTTCAAAGTTGTTGTTACATTACTCTTATCTATATATTTCTCTTTGAGAAATATATAAAATGTAGATTTTTTTTTTTTTTTTTGAGACAGGCTGGCCTTGAACTCACTCACTAGGCAGCTCAGGCTGGCCTCAAACTCGAGGCCATCACCTGCCTCAGCCTCCCAAGTGCTGGGATTACAGGCATGCACCACCACGCCCAGCTCTAAAATGTATACTTTAAAAATTTACTATGCCTTATTTTTATTAAACTCTGGCAAAAAAAAAAAAAATCCCAATTGCTTTGTTCTCACAATTTTATCTTTGAAGGTCTTTTAAAAAAATATATAAAAACCAATAAACTGCACCAAGTATGACAGTAAGGTCTACCTATAAATCAATCAGGATTTTTTTTAAAAGGACTTAATACTAATTCAATAAAAGAAGTATAATCATTGTAAAATACTTATTGAGTACCTCTTAGGTTCCAGGCAGTGAACTAAGTGCTGGAGTGATAAGACCTAGGAAGGTGTAGCAGTCCTTGTCTAAAAAAACAAAAACAAAAAACCCTTCCTATGAAGAAGAGTGGAGAAGGAAAAAGGAAGACAAAATAGTAAACATATACTGACATACAGGAATGACAGAGCTTAAGCACTTTTATCTGCTCATAGGTACACATGTCACATTTTTAACAAACAACTTAAGCGTGGTTGGAGGGAAGGAATTGAAGAAGGTAGAATTAGGATATAAGTACAGAATTAGGTTATTCGTCTCCTGGAGAAGATATGATACAGATGAAGACAAAATAGATGGAAAGATAGTTCTAGGAATAAAGGATACTGAAAAAGCATATTACGATTTATGAATACAGCATTCGGATACTTTTGTTTTTGATGGGGCTTGAACCCAGGGCCTCATACATGCTAGGCAGTGCTACACTACTGAGCTGTAGCCCCAGCCTCTGAAAGAGCATATTATGTAGTAGGACAAAATCAGAAATTCTTCTTCCGAGGAATAAGTAGTCAATGAGACATGTGCCATGAGTTAACTATGATTCAGTAGCTATTACGATGCAAAGATGACATTTCAAATACAGTACTTTAGATAAAATATAACTGTTATGCTCCTTAAATACCAGCTACTTAGGCCCTAAATCTAGCTTTTCCAGATGCTTTCATCAAAGTATACATTGCTAACAAATACTAAGTCTTGGCTTCAACAAATGCTGAAGAGCAAATTTCAAATTTGTTCCAATTCTTTTTTTCTGGGAGAAGGCAGAAATGGAAAATATAAAACATACATATATATACATATATTTGTATATATATGTTCATTAAGTACCCTTTTCATTCAAGGCAATGATGAGCCTAGGTTGACTTCAAATTCCTAAAACAGGGTGGCAAATACTTTAGTGAGATGTTAAAAGAAATAGAAATAAAAAGAAAAAGAACAGGTCTGAAAAAAAAATCTGTATCAAGATTAAACATACACATCGACCTTCTTTGCTGAGCATACTTTCTCAGGAGGAATGCACTGAGAACCTAGTCAAACTTCCTAAGTGCCCATTCACTTTTATCTATTCCCCTAAAAAGGACTTTCTCCATCAGTCAACCCAGCCAAGTGAACTCTGATCATATCAATAACAGGTGGAGGCAGAGAAACAAAGCTGAGATCTAACCCCTTGTACTTCAGATAGTACTGGACCTAGAAGACTGGGAAAACCGAAGGTGCTCCATTTAAACAGTGAATCAGAAATTACTCTGACTTAAAAATACAGAATAAAGGAAAGAGTGCCACACTATTCCAAAAGGAATGGAACTGCTGAGTCATCACTCTTCATTGGGAAAGGAAGTAACTCGAATTAAGCTGTTGCAAGATGAATTCATTCATTAGACTGGGCTTCAGGTAAAAATGCAACAGCAAGACTAGAGTAAAAGCGCCCCCCAAACACGCGTCGAATAGCGAATGAAGGCATTTTATCCACTTCTGATGGCTTGGACGCACAGATCTAAGAAGCAGCAACACCAAGAGAGCAAAGGAGTTTAACAACTGGTTGTCAGTTTGGCACTGGGAGCGCTCAACGTAAACTTTGTTATCCAGGAAGGGAGAGATGCTCGGGCAGCGAGAAGCATCCCTCTTGCACTTCAAAAGTAGCGGGCGCTGGGCAGGTGTTTCTGACAGCGTGGGCGGGGGCACGTGGGGCAGAAGGAGAAAAGGGGCTCTAGTGGCCGAAGAGTGTCCAGCTTCCTCGGAGAGCTTAACTCGGAACAAGAGTTGGGATCGACTGGAGCTGAGGAAACGAAGGGCGCGAGGGCTCCTTCCTCCAGGCCAGGACGGGATGCCGCGGCGTCCCGGCCCCACCAGGCCCTGCCCCCGCGGGGACCAGCAGCTCCCGGCCCAGCCCAGGTCCCCCAAAAGTGGAGGGGAGCAGGCGCTCTCGCGGGCCTGACAGCTTCAGCCGTGCAAAAACCAGGCCTAGGAAGGGTGTACGAAGAAGGGCGCGGGAGGAAAAGGTCGAGAAGAGCCCCAGACCCCGGGAAGTGACAGCGTTTTGCGGGGGAAGGGAGGGCTTCCTTCCCAAGGAAAGGGGGACAGATGAGGAAAGCACTCCGCGTCCGCGCCGCCCTGGCCAGAGGTCTGCCGGGAGTCCCAGCTTCGGACCTCTGTCTCAAGCTCCCTCCCTTTGCGTCCCGCGGTGCCTGGGCCTCCGGCGCCTGGCACCCCCGGTCTCGGGTACTCACAGAGTCCGGGGCTGTCCGTCGTCTTCCATCATGGTGGGTGCGACGGAGCGATCCCGGGACAAGGGGGAGGGCAGGGCTGGGGAGGGGAGGGGGCGGGGAGGAGGGGGAGGGGGGCTCTGGGCACCGGCTGGGGACAGAGGAAAAGGCACCGAACCCCGCTCTTGGGCTCTCTCCCCCCAGCCCGCTCCGGACACTGCGCTCCAACCAGGAGGAGCAGGAGGAGGAGGAGGATGAACAAAATGGCCGCCGCCACCAGCCAAGCAGGAAACAGGGCAAAGCGCAGGCGCGGCCCGCCAGGTCACCGCTCAGGCCAGCCGCGATGGCTTGCCCGCGGAGATCCGAGGAAACAGAAAGCCAAGCCACAGAGGAAACCTTGTGCCCGGTCACGACGGACTGTGTCGTCGCCGTGGCCCTGCTGGCCGGCTGCGGCGCAGCCAGCCCCAGAAGAGATCGAGTAAAAAGAGACCCGCCGTGAAGTCTCTGGGAATTCTGGTCCTGAGAAGCAGAGACGGAAGCACTTCTCCAGTGGACTTCTGGGAACTGTAGTCTGAAGGTGACTCCGCGCCGCGACACGGAGGAGAGACTTCTGGGTAGTGTAGTCATACGTGAGGACGTGCGGCGACCAGGAAGTCGGCCTGCTGGGAGGAATAACTGCGATGCTAACAAGCGGCCCATCCGAGTGGGAAAAGCGATGTCTGGGGAGTAAACTACAAATCCCAGAGTGCCTCGCGCTGGGGGCCGTCCCAAGACTGCTCTAGGCATCCTAAGGCGCCTCTGTTGGCCTACCGTGAGCTTCTGCTCCGCCTCCGTCCAGCCAGAGAGCGGTTTCTTCAACTGCAGTCTGGCAGCGCTCTGTCTCCGCGTGGTGTCCGAGCCAGCAGGCCTAACAGGCTCTCCTGTGTTCATCAGAACGGCGGGCCTGCAGTCATCAACAGCCGCCTCGCGCTACGGACTGGAGAGAGGCTGGCCTGGTGGAGACCCGGAGAGGCTGGGGCGGACCTCGGGCTCCCCCAAAGCCAGTTGTATCTTTGGGGGCGCGTTTTCCCGCAAATAGGTGTTCATAGGAAGCCTGCTTGTAGATTGCTTTACAAGTTTCAAAGGTCCCTATCTGCTATCTCATCGATTTAGGGGAGAAGAAGAGCAGTCCTTCATTAAATGACTTGCCTCCTACACCCTTACTTAATTGAACAGGCATGCACAGATTTAAAGGTGTTTATGGACATCCATCATGTGGGGAAGCCTAGCTTGAAGATGATGTGGGAAGCCATATTCAAACTAGTCAGCAACCCTGTAGAATTTGTCTCACACGCACAGCAGTTCCCGGTGTGCCTTTTCCCACTCAGCACCTTCAGGAGAAAGTTTCTGAATTTGTACCTGCTTTCGAAGTTTAGTGAAGGGGGTGGTGAAAGGTCTTTTAGCCTATTGCCTGAGCTTAGCCTTCCCAGTTAACAGGTTTACGAGTTGGTTCTGTAAACGCAATGGGACATATCTGTGCAAGTGATAGTGCTGCAGGTACCACCGAATCCTCATCCTGTAGGCATAATCAGCTGTACACCAAGACATGTCAGTTTGCAGGGGAGGAGATTTTAACCTGGAAGACTTAATACACAGAGATCCTGACAAAGGAGCTGAGCCCCATAAAAATGTATGGGAGCCAGGTGCCGTGGTGGACACCTGTAATCTCAGGTACTCCAAAAGTTGAGGGAGGAGGATCACCGGTTTGAGGCCAGGCTGCATAATTTAGTGACTTAGCAAGACTCTTAAAAAGAGCTCAGTATATATATATATATATTTCAGTGGTAAGAGTGTCCGTGGGTTGGATCCCCAGTACCTGGGGCTTGAGGATGGGGGTTAGTTTATAGGAACAGCAAAGGGCTCCCAGGCCAGGATTCATGGCTAAAATGTATAGGTCTAGGGCCAGGGAGGGAGGATGCTTTCGGCAGCAAGAAATAGGCATCTTGAGAGCTAGGAAGGTGGGCGTGGGCCTTGTAGAACCATGTAGTCAAGGATCTATGGCAGTGATGAAGAACCTTTTAGAGCATTCAATGGTACAAACAGACCATTGTGGCATATGTGCCGTAAGTAAGTTGGCCACCACTGATATGGCCATGCTGGAGAATTGAAGCTTTGCAGTGAGGAGCCATTCAGAGATTCCATCTATGTTTTTTTTTAATTGGACCTAGGTGTAGTACTGGATTAATCACGATACTGCAATTCATTGACCCATCCCTGGTCCAATGTGTTAGTTTCCTGTTCCTGCTGTAAAAAATAATGGCAAACGGTGAATTTATGATCTAACAGTTCTGAAGGTCAAAAGTCCAAAATCAGTGTAACCTGGCTAAAACCAAAGTATTGGCAAGGGTGGTTCTTTATCTTCCCCAGTTTCTAGAGGCTACCTGTATTCTTGAGCTATTGGCCCCTTCCTCCATTTTCAAAGATGGCAGCATAGCTGGGTGTGGTGGTGCAGGCCTGTAATCCTAGCACGTGGGAGGCTGAGGCAGGAGGATCACCACAAGTTCAAAGCCAGCCTGGGCTATGTAGTGAATTCAAGTCTAGCCTGAATGTAGTGAGATCCTCGCAAAACAACAAGACAGCAGCATATCTTCTCTCCTGACCTCTGCTTCTGTTCTTTCATGTTCTCTTTCTGACTGATCCTCATGGCTCCCTTTTTTGTTGTTGTTTTTTTTTTTGGTACCGGGAATCGAACTCGGGATCTTGCACTTGCGAGGCAGGCACCAGAACCACTGAGCTAAATCCCTGGCCCATGGCTCCCTTTTTTATTTACAATGGAAATTAGTTTGGGTCAGAGTAATCTCTCTGTCTGAAGATCCTTAGTCACATCTACAAAGTCTCTTTATTTTTTATTTTTATTATTATTATTTTTTGGTACCAGGGGTTGAACTCAGGACCTTGCACTTTCGAGGCAGGCGGTGGAACCACTGAGCTAAATCCCCGGCCCAACAAAGTCTCTTTTTTAAAAAAAAAATCTTTGGCTGGGGATTTAGCTGAGTGGTTTCGCCGCTTGCTGCGCAAGCACAAGGACCCAAGTTCGATCCCCAGCACCAAAAAAA